CTAGATGCTATAATGCCTATTCCAGCTTATACTCTACAAGTTGAGTTGAAGCCCAATCATATATGAACAAGGCAGAACAAATATATTTGAAACAGGGAGACTACAGAAGGCTCTTGGATCAGTCAAGAGAGCAGAAACCCCTCTATGCCAAGATTTAATGCAGAGAATTAAGAGTCTAAGGAAGCCTTTAGAAGGGCTGGGGGAAGAAATATTAGGGAGGCTACTGCTGGCTTTCAGGAACTTGAAAGCATAGAAGTGTCAAGGATGCTGCCATCAATGATGGAGTGTGTTTATAACCTGGGTCTCTCCAGAGGGATTTAGAAGGGCATAGAGGAAATACTTTCCTTCATGATCAAAAATGAATAACAGATAAAGACAGCAAAAGGAGAGAGCCATTTTGCTCCCAGCTCCTTTTTTGCTTCGGAGAGTCAGAAGCTTAGTATGCTTGGGGCTGTGACAGCCTGGAAGGGAGACACCATCCTTATGTGAGGATGGAGAAGCAAAGGGCTGGTGCATCAACCCTCTAATCTTCCACTTGTATATTTATTGATAATTGATATTAATCCAGGCCTACTCTTACTGAAGTATGCTCTTCTTTACAGCTGGACATATCTAAATCGAAACATACACAGTACAGAAACAAACTATGACAGATTTCTGTGATGGTAGCAAGTAATCTTTGAATGGATTCATCGATTCAGAGCTGTTGTGCAGAGGAAAGCAAACTTGTCTGACTTCAGGAAGCTTAGCACCACCAGGCTGTGTACATAACCATTGTACATCCTATTTCTACCAACATATTTGTCAATAACCACAAGAAGATGAGAAATCCAAGATCTAGGTTACAAAATTTGCCAAGTTAGGTAGATGCATCCATTCTGCTCTTACATGTGGGTGAACCTTCAAAAAGCCAATGGAAGATAAAACCCAATTTTTGTCTGACTTCAGGAAGCTTAGCACCACCAGGCTGTGTACATAGCCATTGTACATCCTATTTCCACCAACATATTTGTCAAAAACCACAAGAAGATGAGAAATCCAAGATCTATCTAGGTTACAAAATTTGCCAAGTTAAGTAGATGCATCCATTCTGCTCTTACATGTGGGTGAACCTTCAAAAAGCCAATGGAAGATAAAACCCAATTTTGTTTATTCTCTGGGCAATGAGTAGCCTGGATTATCATTTGGCTAGTCCATTCACTCACAGAAACATGGGTTTCTCTGATTTATTTTTACCTCTTTCAATCTTAAAATTCCTGAGGAAGAGCTTTATTCTCTGGGCAATGAATAGCCTGGATTATCATTTGGCTAGTCCAGCCACTCACAGAAACATGGGTTTCTCTGCTTTTTTTTTTACCTCTTTCAATCTTAAAATTCCTGAGGAAGAGCCACTATTTTGTCTGGCCTCCTTGGTAAGAGTGGGACTGGAAGCGGGCAGCAAATCAGCGGTGAGTGAGGACAGGAGGGTGAGCAGCCCTATATTAAGGGCCTTCATGAAGGGAGCTGTCTCCGTGAAGCCAAATGTCATCTGGAATGGCAGCGCCACTGCCATTCAGCAGAGGTCATGAGAAGAAGCAAGGATAACCAAGACATGCTCCTTGTGCTGTGGAATCTCAGAATAGGATAGGGTACAAGAAGCTCAAGAAGAATGAGAACATGGATTGGAGGACTGAGTGAAAAAGGTGAAGAAATTGAGGAGTACAGATTGGCAGTTACAAAATAGTTGTGGGGGTGTGAAGGACAGCATAGAGAATACAGTCGATAATATCGTGATAACCATGTATTGGGCCTGGTGGGTACTGGAAATACCAAGGGGATCACCTTGTAAAGTATCAGATTGTCTAACCACTATGCTGTACACCTGAAACTAATACAAAATACGATTGAATGTAAACTGTAACTGAAAAGATTAAAACTAGAAGAGGAATAAGGACGCGTGAGAGTGCTCCTGGGATAGGGAGGACAATCGGAAGACTTCCCTGCTCTCTGACAGCATTTAGGACCTTAATCACACCTGCTTGGAGCATGAAGACCATGAATACTTCAATTATGATAATATGGTGTGATTTAGAATACCTCGATTCCTCTGACAAATTACCCCTCCGCCCTCTGCCAGACCTTGTAGGTCTTCAGCTTAAATCTTCATTCCTAAGTTTAAATTCACTGGAGAAAGCAAGTGTTTTATATCAATATAAAAGCATGCACAGAGCTATACAACTTGCCTTTTAAAAAAGTTCAAATATCAGGGCCTCACCTCTTGGTTCAATAGGTGAGGATGATGTGAGACTCAGGAAATCAGCTGATTCTGGATACAAATGGTCTGAGGACCTGACCACGGCTTTGTATTCTTTAGTGTGAATGCCATTCCCAAGGGCAAGTCTGCTTAAGAAAGAAAGTCCTCCAAAGTCACACAGTTCTGAGGAGGGAGATATGGAGAGATAGAAGCGTGTGGTGGGGGTGGTGAATAATGTAAAATGAAATTGAGTTGCTCAGTCAAGGTCATATGGCTAAATCCACCACCCAGATTTCCCAAGGGGAACCAGAAACGCTGGGATATAACTTCCAGAGAAATCTTCTATTGCCAAGTGGATTTGAAAATTGGGAGCTAAATGGAGTCCTGTGTTTGTTATTTATCCAATATCTGACCTTCTCAGTCACCTCTACTATGAATAAGGTTGGCAGAAACTCCGTCATAGTCCCTCTGCTCTGTGCCCAGCCCCGAGGAGCACTTTCAAGTAAAAACTGGAGAACAAACACTCACAGAGGAGACGCGGACCAGCTGGGGTTTATTTCAGTGTGCCAGCTTGACACAAACATGGGCGAAGGCCAGATATGGATTGGTGAGTCACCCACATTTAGATGCAGTTTGTGTAAAATGTTTTCATTTCCGCATCATGGAAGCAAATCTGAAAGCTTTCACTCAAACCATGGAATTTAATTCCCTGCAACAAAAAGTGACCTACCCCCAAGCACAGCTTTAAAAAGTCCCACTCTGACTCCTGCCTAGTTTCCAAATCTAGCTTAACTAGTTTGTATTTAATTGCAGCATAGAAACAGCCAAAATGATCATATTTTGCCTCTGGTAATTCTCTGCAGCCTACATGAATTGTTTTTAAATAAGAATGAATTAAAGTGTGGTTAATCTTAGTAGCACATAATCCTTTCAAAACAGACTTTAGATATTGCCTTTTCTTTTGAAAGGCACTGATATCACCTAAGGCCTGAATGTCTGCACTTTGGAGTTGGGGTGGGGGATCAACAGCTTCTTTTAGCCTGCATCTGTAGCCATCTGCTCCCTAAATATTCATTTTGCAGAGAAGTCTTACTACTGTTTGCAAGTTTTCAGAAAGGCAAGAATTAAAATATAAAAGATGTATACATTGCCTTCAGATTTTTTGTCCAGCATCACCTTTTAATGTTCATGATAAAACCAGTCCATAGGAAATTTCTCCCTGATTTCAGGTGTAATGCGGACTGTACATTTTATCATACAGACCAAATGATTTGATACATATGTATCAGAGGATTCCTGATCATCATCACAACATCTTAAAGAGAGGAGATCTTTGTGGCAAATAGTTCAAAATTATTTCTTAACAGCTTCATTGAGGTATCATTTACATATAAAAATTGTATATATTTATGGTGTAAAACTCAATGTATTGATATACATATACACTGTGAAATGATCACCACAATCAAACTAATCAACATATTCACCACTTCTACACAGTTACCAGTGTGTGTGTGTGCGTGTGTGTGCGTGTGTGTTTGTGTGTGTGTGTGCCACATTTTATCTTGAATAACTGAAATTTTGTACCCTTTGACCAACATCACCCCATTTCTCAGCCCTCCAGACCCTGGAAACCACCATCCTACTCTGCTTCTATAACTATTGTAGGTTCCACGTATAAGTGAGATCATACAGGATTTTTCTTTCTGTGTCTGGCTTATTTTGCTTAGCATGATGTCTTCCAACTTCATCCATGTTTTCACAAATGGTAGGATTTCCTTATTTTTTATTATTTTTTAAATATGTTTTTATTGATTTCAGAGACAGGAAGGGAGAGGGAGAGGGAGAGAGAGTTAGAAACATCGATGATGAGAGAGAATCATTGATTGGCTGCCTCCTGCAGGCCCCCCACTGGGGATCAAGCCCACAACATTGACTTCTGCCCTGACCTGGAATTGAACTGTGACCTCCTGGTTCATGGGTTGATGTTCAACCACTGAGCAACACCGGCCAGGAAGAATTCCTTAGTTTTTTAAGGTTGAATAATATTCCTGAGTGTAAGTGAGTGTGTGTGTGTGTGTGTGTGTGTGTGTGTGTGTGTGTGTGTATTACATCTTTATCCAATCATTGGCTGAAGGACAGTTAGGTTGTTTCCATCTTTGCCATGTAAACAATGCTACAATAAAAATGGGAGTTCAGATATCTCTTAGAGAATCTGATTTCCATTCCTTCAAGTATATAGCCAGAAGTAGAATTACTGGATCATATAGTAGTTTTACTTGCACTTTTGTACTTTTTTGAGGGAACTCAATACCATAAATTAGTACAGCTATTATGAAAATCAGTATGGAGGCTCAAAATTATTTATTGAGCAATTACTGTGTGTCAGGCTTGAGATATATCAATGAGATGGATATCCACCCTGTGATCTTTAGTAACTCAAATCCTTTTAATCTTGTTTTCTCATTAGGAAATATTGAGAGAATTGAACGAGATCTCACAGCATGGCTCTAAGATTCAATAGAATTAAAGAGCTTGCAATCCTTGTGTGCTGGCAACAAGGATATACTGGTGGGTGCTGGTTATAAGAAGAAATTTGACTGAAGAAAGACTTCGAAGGATGGGAATAATCCTGATATCAAGAGTTTCAGTACTTTTATTATGACATGTAGTTATAGTTGATTTACCATCATCTTCTTAATCTGGTTTATTAAAAAAAAAAACACTCAGCCAATCCTAGTGGCAAATGTTTTAGCATTTTTTTTTTCATTTTTCCAACAAGTATTTATTATTAGTTAAGCCATGATTCAGGATTCTAGGGTGGGATGTACCTAGGCGACCCCCAACCCTTCACCTCCCTGGGAGAAGGATGGAGGATGCCCAGTTCAGATCTTCCCAGGAAACGTGCCTTCTGCCCAGCGGTCATCCCAGGCCGAAACCCAGGATATGGGGCACAGGGACTTGTACACACGCCGGTACCATTCACACATGGAGGCATCACCCCCTTTAGCAGTCATTGCCTGCTCATAGCGGTGGAAGTCCATGTCGTTCTGCCAGCAGTTCCTGGTCAGGTTCTGGTTGGGGAAGCGGCTGTCAAAAGGAGCAGTCCGGTAGTTCTTGATTTTGGTCTTGATGTCTTCTGCCATGTTGCTGATTCCTAAAGACACCCCTGAAGCCGCTCGCAGCTCAATGTGACCTCAACAAAGAGACTCCCATGTTTTAGCATTTTTCTGCTAATGTTTTTAATCAAAACTAAATGAAGATATTACTGTCATTAAAAAATAAAAAATTCCCCTGGATAAAAGAGAAAGGATTCTTTTGGTGGCAAATAGGAAAACATTTATGCCCCCAAACTAGGTGGTGATACAGCATGGTCTCTGGGAAGGAACTGTTTGAACTTCTTGAGGAGATCCGTGTGCTGAAATTTTAAGCCTGAATTACCAATAAGCAATCTGAGTACAGTCCCCAACAATCAAGAGAGGCTTTAGGATTTTGATGGCAATTTAAAAAAGAGATTCCACACTGTTTTACCAATTTTCAATGTTAAGAGGAAAAATAGCATCAGGAACTTCACTGATTAATAACAGGCAATTTTTACTTTCTACTACTTTTTTTTGTTACAAAATTGCTTTCATCTTGTTAAAATATAAATAGGTATAATGGATGGATGGATGGATGGATGGATGGATGGGTGGACAGATAAATAAAACTTAGATAAAATCCTAGAAAGAAAGATTTATAAAACTGAAAGTGAAGAGTATCACTTTGTATAAATGGAAATTTAGTATAAAACTAAAAATACCTCCTACATAGTCATTATAGTCATTATATTTCCCCTAAAACTTAAAAGGAAGTTTGTTCTAGAAGTAATATAATTTAAATCAAACTCAGAAGAAAAAAAAAACACCAAGAAGTAAAGCAAACGTACATAAAATGGGTCTCTGAGGAGACCTGAATTCCAGAATGGTGTGGAAACAATTGTCTACTTCCCTCAATTTTCCAATATTATTCCCTGCTTTGTTCTCCTGTCTCATTCTTCACAGCACAGAAGGAAGGCACATATGGGAGCTCCCTCAGATTCTTTCCACTAAATCTGAAAAGCTGCATCCATCCTCTCCTACCTGCGGTCTTGTGCACAAGGAGGACTTTCCTCCTCCCACCAAAGGCCAGTACGTTCCGTACAGCACTACCTCCCTGCCCAGTGGGTATTCTTTCTACCTCCTGCCACTCTCCCTTGGATCCTTTCAATTAATTATCAAATATACGCCAGTTCTCCCATGTTAAAACTCTTTTTCTTGAATCCTACACCTACCCAATATCTTGAATCTATTTCAAGATGAAACATCTCTCAAAGAATATGTATGTTGATTCCACATCCTCACTAACCACATACTCCACCATCTACTTTGAACCTGCCAAGAATGAACTTACTGAAATTATCAACAACTTCTACACTGCAAAAGATAATGGGCACTTACTTGTTAGTCTCTATCTTATGTTTTGTCTCTCCTCACAAGTTTACTTGGTTGACCACAGCATGCTTGAGAGATTAGGGTTTGTTTGTTTGTTTGTTTTACACCCAGATTCACAGTCTTCTGATTTCCTCGTACTTCTGGTCATGCCTGTTTCGAGACTCTGTGCTCAGTTAGGCTGTTCTCATTCTAGCCCCATTCTCAGTCTACACTGTTCTATACTCTCTCATAGTTAAACACCTACTCACCACAAACTACTTGGGTATCTCATCTCTGGTGTCTGATCATTAATAATCAACATATACTCCATATCTGAATATATTTACTCAAATGTCCCTACAGCTTTCCAAACTAATCATATCCACAACTAAATCATTATCTTCTCTTCAAATTCTCTTCTCCCCATGGGAAGTTGTTAGCATTGTTTATTTGTTCATGCCAGAGCCACATGGACATACTCTTGGCCTGGCACTTCACCTTCCAAATCCAATCATCTATCACCAAGTGTTTTGATTCTAACTCTAAAATATACTTAAAACATATCAACTTCTCTCCATCTCTATTCTACTACCCTGGCACAAGCCACCAGATTTTCTTTTCTGATCCATCAACTCAGCTCCAACCAACCAGTCATATTTCTTCTCCATCCAGTCCATTTGAATCACAGTTGTCACATTCATGTTTTTATTATGCAAGAAGCACAATAATATGCTTTTGCCTAAAGTGTCTCAATGGCTTCTTTTACCTGTAAAAGTCTGAAATGTTTAGCCTCAAACAGAAAACCCTGTGCTTCTGTGGCCTCATTGCATACACATCCCCATTCCCTCCGTTTACTTCAGCCTCAGGGAACCTCTTTCAGGTCCTTCTTGCTCATGACCTTCATTTGGTGTTTGTCTAGGATGCACTCTTCACCTGTTCACTAGCAGATCCTTTACCCATCCTTAAGGCTGCCCCAGCTGAAGTGTTATTCCTTTACAGCAGTGGTTCTCAACCTTCCTAATGCCGTGACCCTTGAATACAGTTCTTCATGTTGTGGTGACCCCCAACCATAAAATTATTTTCGTTGCTACTTCATAACTGTAATTTTGCTACTGTTATGAATCATAATGTAAATATCTGATATGCAGGATATATTTTCATTGTTACAAATTGAACATAATTAAAGCATAGTGATTAATCACAAAAACAATATGTAATTATATATGGGTTTTCCGATGGTCTTAGGCGCCCCCTGTGAAAGGGTCATTCGACCCCCAAAGGGGTCTCGACCCACAGGTTGAGAACCGCTGGTCTAAAGGCTTTTATTTCCTCACACGGGGTCATTGTATAAATTGAGTCACAATGAGCAAGTGATTGGTGTCAAAAGACCTCAACGCACCTCCCAACTCTGTTACCAGCTGGGCCTCCATTTGCTTATCAGTAAAATGGGCACAAATCATTGTATTTGCCTGGTGGGTGGGGTGGGTGGGTTTATCACATGATATTGCACCTATTTAAAGTGACTGCCAAAGAGCCAGATGTAGTGAAGGGTCCTCAGTAAAGGTTTCATTGATTTGGAAATGTGTTCACGTGTTTGCATTTGTACTAGTTTTCCCCTTGGAAACACTCCTGTCCCCAGTTATATGCTTTTAAAGGGAAAAAAAATCATCCTTATCATTATTGTATTCCTTCAACTAACATGTTGCTTAGAAATTAATGGGCACTCCAAATATATTTATTAAATAAATGCTATTGAGGGGAGGAAATTTATGATATTCTAAAAGATCTACATTTAAAGGGTATAAACGTTGAATTAGAAGGGCTCAGATTCCTACAGGAGGTTCATCAATGTTCAGTCAACAAGTGATTCCATCAACTAGTGCTCCCCATCTCTGACTTAAACTAGAGCATCCCAGAAACAATGTAGCTATGTTAGTCCAATTGTTCCTTACAACATGTAAGTGATTTGACCATAAAATACTTTTGGAGCAAGGCCAGCAACCTAGAGAGAATTAGCCCAACAGAGCTAGGCTTTGAAGCCAGGCACAGCTTGCAATCCTGGCCTTTCTAGTTAATAAGTGATAGCCTTTGAAACCTTATGGTATCTCCTGCAGGGTACATTTGAAAAGGGAACTAGTTATATGGTATGTTGTTTTCTTCGTGAGGGTCCACTGTGTGTTGGGAAAGAGAAAGCAGAGAACTCTCATTTTAGGAATATTTTCGCATCTCCTGAATGACTGATTTGTTTATGACCTTTGCAAATGTCATCATTTATTATAGCTCTCTCTTCATAGGTCTGTCTAGCCCCATGGTCTGAAAACTGTGGCTCGCGAGCCACATGCGGCTCTTCAGCCCCTTGAGTGTGGCTCTTCCTAAGCCTTACGAGTACCCTAATTAAGTTAATAACAATGTACCTACCTATATAGTTTAAGTTTAAAAAATTTGGCTCTCAAAAGAAATTTCAATCGTTGTACTGTTGATATTTGGCTCTGTTGACTAATGAGTTTGTCGACCACTGGTCTAGCCCATGAAAAAATGACACACCACACTGTGCTTTATGTTATGCTGAAAGTGGTGGGAAGTTGAGCTTTCTGAATTCATGCAACAGGGGTCTGTATCAGTCAGTGGCCATCAGGAGACAGAGCCATCTAATTATTTAACAAAGAGAATTTAGTGTATTAAGTGTAAGATGTATCTTTCACCCCTAGAGATGCTAGAACTATTAAAGTATAGAAGCTTGAAGATGAGGTCCTGTGGATCTTGAACCCAAACCTCTGAGAAGGGAGTGCTCCTTGGTTGGCAATGGTGTCTCTGAAGTGGGCACAATAAAGTTGGTTCTGCAAGTTGATGGAGAAATTGCAAACTGAAGTTACTGGTATTCTAGGGATAAACCATTTCTGCAGAGGTAAAGAAGTGCTGCTAGATCACCTCAAAGAACAGGAAGGTGAATGAAACTTCTCTAGGCTCTCCAGGCTCCCTGTGCAGCCTCCTACTAACAAAACCAAATAGAAAATAGCTGAAAAAGCAGAAATGCGCTTGCAAAAAATCTATCCCAGAACCTCAGATTGGAGTATAAAAGGGTGAGTTGGGAACTGAAAGAAAATACCTTACTAATTGATACAGAATCTAAGCAACCCTTGGCCTTTTCTGGAATTGTTGTCCACAGGATGTTCCTGGAAAGTCAGCTTTTTTTTTTTATCATAGTCTTTGTACCACCCTGATCCCTACAAAACTGTCAATCCTGCCTATTTCACAGCTGCCTCCCAGGAATCTATCCCTTCTGCTCTGCAAAGAGCCAAGAGGATCCCTACATTTTCAAAGTTCTTCCTGGACAGCTCCAACTGGAAATCAACCAATGAGATGAGACTACAAGGTTCCCAAAATCCTGGTCGAGAGTCCAGCCCAAAACCCAGGTGCCAAAGGAAGACTAAGTCCTGATGACCTGAGTCAACATTAATCTGGAGCAAGAAAATGTCAGGAGTGTAACCCTATTTGCGCACCCTTTGCAAAGTTGTCTCTACTGCCAAGCCTGTTGGTATCCTTTCTCAGCCTTTGAGGTCTTTTATAGCCTGCCCTGGCCCATCCCCAGGAAAGGATTTGCTTAGGGAAGGTGTTTCTGTGGGATGCGTTCATCCTTTTCACTGAGGAAAAAGAGCTACAGGCAGAGGATGCTCTAAGGTGTGACTGATGTTAGCAGAAGACATGAAGCTCCAAAACATTGATATGACAGAAATTGCTCAAAATCCTAACACTCCA